ACAATGTTCCCTTCATTAACTGAAAACAGGCTAGACTAATCGATTCTTCAGATTTATGAATCGATATATTTTCATAAAAATGAGAATCGATTAAAACCGAGAAATTGATATTTTTTTACCCAGCCCTATGTTTAATGCCTGATGATCACGCTATTTTACATAGGCATCTGCTTGCATATAAGATCGCTTGTTTCTGCTTCTTCTTCACTGTGTTCTGATCCAGGTATTTAATACTCCTTCAGAAGATGCATAATAGCGCCTCCTACCGTACACCAGTGAAAACACGGAAAGCTGAAAAATTCCATAGATGGCGGGGAAAGAGTTAAAGAGTTGTGCACATAAAAACAGTGGCATTCAAGAATCAAATTATGTTTGTTTGGATCAGGAAAAAAAGATTGAAGATGAAGGATCTTGAAGGACTGGATCTGCTTTGGTTTATGCACTTGGGTGGTAGTTAATTGCACAGAGTCAAGACCAGACACAACCATTTCATTGGGATGGAGTGTTTGATAACCTGTCACAACATTTAGCCTCAATGTTGAAAATGGCACATGGTGAGTTTTGAATGGCATTACCTCTCACAGTGTCACCTGATGAAGCTCTTGAGACTGTTTCTGTAAACGGTCGGCGTGATTTTGCCAAGTAAGACATTTTCCTGGATCAACATCTTTTGTTGATCCTGGACTAAACCCAATCCCTACCCCTAAACCTAACCCTACCCATAATTTATTCCTAAAATCAGAGGGAAATGATAGCTGATTAACAAGAGTGTAGAAGCACCTAACCCTGATTGTAAGCCTAAAACAGATATTTCCTGAAAAGTTGTCCCTCAATTCTGATTGGTTGATAGGAATGTTGTTCCAGGATCAATACGGATGTTGATCCAGGAACATGTTGTACTTGGTCAAATCACACTCACCCTCTGTAAACACACAACGTGGTTCTCAGCCCTTGCAAGAGTTAAAATTTAAAGTGGTCATGAAATGTGATTTTTAAGTATTTTTCTTTGGATTCACTTATAATGTTAGTTTATTTTTTGTTTGTTTAAAAGCAGTCTAAATTCAGTAATATACAACCTTTAAGCGAACTATTAAATTTAGGAAATATATAGATGCTAAATATATTTTAGGAAGGGGTCTTTTGGAACTTTTTGCTACTTTCAGAATTATTTTCGATACTTTATAAGCAAAAATAAGCTAGATGGCTGCCACATTGATTCTGAAATAAAAAATGTATAAAATAAAAATCCATAGGACATTCGCACATTGCTGTGTTGTACTAAACATTCGGCTGTAGCCACAGTACTACCGCTGCTCTTACATGTGCGATACTGCCTAAATAAACCCTGTTCATTACACTGATAGACTGTGTGTCTGTAAAGACAGTTAATGTGATGTTTGGGACACCGGATGGTGAAGTCAATTCTATACAGTATAGCAGCTCTGCTGTCCCCTGCAGGCCATTCATGATAGTTCAGAGGCACATCTATCAGCACCATACAGAGAACAGTGGACATATCTGTCTTTATGTACCAGCAGCCATTTAGCTGCTGGTTATTGATTTTTGATCTGTTTATAATTGTATATTTGAGGATGTTTTGACCCTGAAAAGGAATTATGTTATTTTAATTGATGATAAAAGTGTTATTATTTTCAGGGAAACGCACAGCGAACGTAGTTCCAGGCAGCTCTGGACCGCATTACATGTCCATATCACTTCGCCAAATGATTTCTGTTATTTCAAAGGTCTTACAACAGCACAATAACCAAAACCCACAACAACACTGGCCAGACAAATAAATATAGTAAGCAATATGATAAAAATGACAGATCATTCTCAGGCATTCCAGGCATTCCAGCTGATGGCCGACAGTGTGAAGAGGGTTTTTTCTAACATTAACCCTCGGGAAAGCTGCTGGTACAGATCATATTCCAGGTTGTGGGTTGAAGTATTGCTCAGAACAGTTGAAGGATGTCTTTACGGACATATTTAACATCTCCCTTAGCCAAGCCAGAGTGCCCATCAGTTTCAAAAGTGCCACTATAATACCTTTGCCCAAGACACCAAATCCAGTCTCCATGAATAACTACCGTCCTGTAGTCTTGACCCCGATAGCTATGAAATGTTTTGAGCAGCTTGTCATGAATCATATGAAGTCATGCCTCCCAACTAGTTTGGACCCATTACAATTTGCATATAAAGCGAACTGGTCTACTTGTCTTGAAAATCATATTTCCCATGTTACAAAAACAGCATTCTTCCATCTTAGAAACATTGCCAAGTTATGAAACATGTTACCTGTTTCTGATGCAGAAAAGCTAGTTCATGCATTCATGACCTCTAGACTGGACTATTGTAATGCACTGCTAGGTGGTTGTCCTGCATCTTCAATAAACAAGCTACAGGTAGTCCAAAATGCAGCGGCTAGAGTCCTTACCAGGTCAAGAAAATATGATCATATTACCACAATTTTACAGTCTCTGCACTGGCTACCTATTAAATTCCGTATCAGTTAAAAAATATTATTACTTGCCTGTGATCGGTATCGGCAGATACTGCTTTCTGTGATCGGCGATCGGAGCACCCCTAATAAAAGTAATGTCAAGATGGCTAAAACAGCTTTCAAGGTGCGATTCTTCAGTAAAACTTTCAGAAGTGTACAAAGAGGTATAGAAATCCCTAAACTGATCATTAATAATAAGAGGATTGATTGTGGGACCGGAAGATGTAGAAATTTGAGTAATATTATTAGGACGGAGGATTGACGTAGTTGGTGTGCGAGCAATTTACTTGGTTTGTCACCGAATTCATAATAGTTATAACGACTTTTGTGAAGAGCTTCAATTGCATCTCGTTGCTAGCAGATCGAATTCAGCTTTTGTTGTAAGACTTTTATTAAAGAAATCTGAAGCTCAGCTAGAGACCTAAATAAAGAAGATATCCTCTCAGCAGCCTTTTTTCTCTGATATGCCGAATAAGATATAATTTCTCTTCTCAAAAGGCTTTACATGCTTCCCATATAGTAACAGCTGACCTCAGGGGTCAGGGCTGACATACAGTATGTGGAAATAAAAAGGCTGATCCGGTCATTAATCACTTTTACAAAATCTACATCAAGTATTAAAGAATTATATTTATCCCACTAGGACGTGAGCGATCCAGTATAACTGTGGTATGATCCGAGATTACAATAGGATTGTAGGAACAGTCATGGATGAGTGGAAGTAATTTATTATCAAGAAGAAATTAATCAATCCGAGAAAAGGTTTGGTGAACAGGTGAAAAAAAGGAAAACTGTCTTGCAGTAGGATAAAAAAAAAAACGCCAGACATAAGAAACTGTGAATTGCTCCATAAACAACTCAATTGTTTTTGAGAATTTAGATACAGTAGAGCTCGGGATTTTGAAGAAGAACAAACTAAAAGAGGAGTCAGACAACAATTAAAATCTCCACCTAGAATAAGTTGGCTAGAGTTTAAATCAGAATGGGAAATTCTTGAAAAAAAAAAAGTTTCCAGATTATCAGATATTTTAATGGGTTTAGTTCAGATAATACATGCCAATAGTGAGCCTACAGCTGCTGCGGTCAGGCCAGTGCTGTTTAGACTGAAGCTGATAACATTGGCAAGGCTTTTTTGTTGTTGTTGTTGTTGTTGTTGTAGTTGTTTTTGTTTGTTTTCAATAAAATCTTGCTGTCTTTGCAAAATGCAACTATTTCACAAACATCAAAATACAGATCTCCCACCCTCACCATTTTAACAAAACAGTGTCTGTGCCATCTCATTCTTAAATGATTAGACATCTACATCCCCTCTTTCCTCTCCTCTTTGCTGATGTCCAGAGTTTAGCTCAGAGAGAAAAGCCTATTTGTTACGCTCGAGAGTTTCAGTGAAAGGCAGCATTACTGCCATTCAGAGCATCACAACAGGAAAAACAGCCTCGTCTATGGGAGATCACTGTCTGCAAACTCACCAGTCATGACTGAATGTCACTAGAAACAAACAGGACACAACAGCATCATTAAGATTATTAAAAGATCGTTAAAAGAATAGGGAATTTAAAAAAATATTGTGCTGTAAATTTACTCACTCTCAGGGCATCTCAGATTAGGATGAGTTTGTTTCTTCATCAGGTTTGTAGAAATGTAGCATTGCATCAGTGTCTCAGCAATGGATGCTCTGCAGTGAATGGGTGCCGTCAGAATTAGAGTCCAAACAGCTGATAAAAACATCACAATAATCCACAAGTAATCCACAGCACTCCAGTCCATCAGTTAACATCTGGAGAAGACAAAAGCTGAAACAAATCCAGCATTAAGACGTTTTAACTAAAATACGAGTCTATAATCCATAATAACGCTTCCTCCAGTGAAAAAGTGCATCTGCTGTTGTCTCTGTCATCAAAATCCAGCCACATATCTGTTTAGAGCTGTTTAAACGCTGCTTGATCTGTTCAGATTTCTCTCCTGATTCAGACAGGAGGAAGCGTTATCATGGATTGATGTTTAGATGATGGCATTATCGGAAAGTCTGGGAAACTACTAAACCTCATACCTCATTAGAAGACCTCATTACAAACATACTGTAAAAGTATGCACACATGAAAAAGATGGGGGGGAAAAAGCATGTCTTTTCCACACATGATTAAAATCATCAGTTTTTCAGAAGTTTTTATAATGTTCTTTTGATGTTTGACGCTCTGACTTCCTCTCTTCGTATGACACCATCTTTCTGTCCAGCGCTGGTTCAGTTGCTCATATCCATCAGTAGAGCACGGCTTTGTAACAAAAACAATGAAAATCACTTTTTGTGCTGAGTAACACATTCCAAGCAAGCAGCCCTTTTATGTATGTTTGTGACACACAGTCTGTGGTGGAGGCTGTTTACATTTGGGCAACATTCTCAGCAGGACTTGAGTGCAGAACTTTTAATTAAATTGTTGTAAGTGATGTTGACCTCAGAGAGACTCTATTCAGACTGATGGGCGGAGTCTTGTGATAGACACACCTCTCTTCAAATACACAGCCACACTTCACTTCAAGGTCTCTGCCTCCACTGTGCTGTTCAGTTCACGGTAAATCAGCGTCTCTTTCATTTGCCTGTGATTTTCAAGACTAATATCAGCAAGACTAATAACTGTTAATTTTGAGATGATTTCACCTGGAGGTAAAGTTATTGTAAAAAAAAAGTGTACTGTATGAATTATCTAATTCTGCTATGATTATTTACTGTCACTAAAACTAAAGAAATAAATGTTTAAGGATTACATGATGGATTTCTTGACTTGCGGAGAGAAGGACCCACTGTATGCCAAATACGGCACTTTCCCTGGATGGCATTCTTCACACATGTAAGTTCATAGAATTATTTCATTGAAATGTTTGCCACATTCTAGTCATCTAGTTTGAAAAGAAAGTCAGGAGTTTGCACACAAGCGTTATTTATTACATTGTGGTTCACATTTGGCAGCACTTAATTTGGTAATAACCAAACTTATAGAGTTTATTCAGTTCTGAACCCATACAGATGAATAAGGTCATTGATTCGATTCATAAATGATCATTATCCAATGTTCCTACTTTACACAAAAACTGTGTATAAAATAGTATAAAAACGTTGCAGAACAGAGATTGATTTTACAATATGTTGAAATGCACACTATTGTGATATTTTAATAATGGTTATATAATTTGCATTCAAATTCTAAAGATAGCGTTATTGAGAGGATAAGTTCTGTTTGTAATGAAGTTATGCATTTGTGACAAGAACTGGATGCGATAACAATAATAATAATTAAAAAACAATATTTAGCATTAAACAATATTTATGTGAAAATAAAATGTATTTAAAATTACATTTACAATGGACTACTTGCACCTGGCTTCATATTAATTGAAATGCTAACATACGAATTGAAATTGAATTTTCTATGACATATGAATTGAAATACTGTGGCTCGTCACTTACTGTGTTCTGTAGTTTCTAGTTGAAGGAGACTAGTAAAGGGTGTCATCGCTCTAAACAACTAAACTCTTCAAATGCAGGGTGATATCTATAACCATAAAGTTTTAATAGTCATAACTCTAAGAGAATAGCACACCAAAATAATATCAAGGAACGCTATCGCTGGAATCACTTTCAGAGTGATTTTTTTTTCTGATAAATAATAAAAAATATTGACAGCTGATCAAAATCCATATGACTTTAAAGCAATCATTTTCACAGACCATATACATTTACAGTATAGTAACGTTATCGTCCATTTGATTTTGGTGTTTGTTTATGGATTGAGTTTAACTCTGTATTATTAGGTCTGTTAGATCCATCACTCATCTAACACATTAAATAATACAGTCTGAACAAAATCACCCATTGGTTTACTTTTATCAAATGGTTGTTTTAATTACTATTTTGTGTCATTGACAGCTTCACTAGACATTAAAAAGTAAATGACAATTCATCAACAAAAGATGTTTTATACAAATCTGTATAATCAGGTGTCACGTTCTGCCTGTGCTTACATGTATTTTCATGGACTTTAGGCTACGTCCACATGAAGCCAGAGCTATCCCTATCCGATCTTTTTTTTCCCTCGTCTCAAGAAATATCTGCGTCCACACGAAACCACAAAACCGACACAAAACGATGTAGTATACATGCCAGACCAGCATGTGGCGCTGTAATTCTGCCACAGAGATACACTAAAAATGGAGAAGAAGACTTGGACTATGCGCATAAACCTTGCACGCGGTAAACAAACGAACATGGAACAATACATTTATTAATCTGTGTTAATGTTAGTTAATAAAAAGACAATTGTGGGGGCGGGGCCGAGAGCCGTGGGAACGGAGCGAGGCCGGTGAAGTAAGTGATAATGAGCGACATCTGCACCACTCACCGGTCTCGAGTCCCACGGAGGAGCTCCGGAAGGATAAAAGGAGGAGTGACGACAGTGAAAGATGAGAGAGGACCAGGC